AATAAATAAATAAATAAATAAATAAATAAAAGATACTGCTATCTCTGCCTTGATTTCTAAGTGAAGATGGAAATTGTAGGTCCAAAAGGACTGAAATTTTCACCACCTGACTTCTTGAAATAGAAAACAGACACAAACACCTAACTACATTTATTCTTGGTATTTTCTATAAGGGCTCTCTGTATGGCATGACATTCGAGTTCACACTCTGTGCTACTTATTTGATAATTGTAAACTATTCCAGATGTACTAACATTATAGGCTGAAGCATAACAATGAAATAATTGTCTTTGTTTCCTCACAAGTGACAAGGTAATGTTTTGGAGATATAAAGGGAGAAATCACAAAGATGTATAACCGTGTTTCCACTTTGTTCAGAATCTTAGCATTAGCAAAATTAGAACTGGAAACATACCAATGTTGTTGTTTTCTGCTGTTGAGTCAATTACAACTCATAGAGACCCCTATGTGTAACAGAATGAAACCTTGCCTGGTCCTGTGCCATCATAATAATCGTTGCCATGCTAGAGACCATTGGCACAGACACTGTGTCAGTCCATCTGGTTGATAGATTTCCGTTTTTTGCTGACCTTTCACTTTACTAAGAGGAGCTCTGGTAGCATAGTGGCTAAGGTACTTGCCTGCTAACCAGAAGGCTGGCGGTTCAAACCCACCAGCCACTCCTTGGAAGGAAAGTTGGTCAATCTACTTCCATAGTGATACCGCCTCGGAAACCCAAGGAGCGGTTGCTATGAGTTGGGTCTGACTCAACAGCACATAACAACAAACAACAACTTTATTTTACTAAGCATGACCCTTGTCCAGGGACAGGTCCCTTCTGACAACATAACCCAACATATCGAAAGTACAGGAGACAAAGTCTAGCCATTCTCGTTCCTAAGAAGCCTTCTGGTTGTACTTCCTTCAAGACAGATTTGATTGTTCTTCTAGCACTCTATGGTACATTCAGTATTCTTCACCAACACCACAATTTAAATGAATCAATTCTTCTGCTGTCTTCTTATTTATCATCTAGCTTTCACATACAAATGAGGCTATTGAAAATACCATGGCTTGGGTCAGGGACA